AAATGCAAATTAGTTTTAAACCAGATGATGCAGAGTTTATTCAGACAATTAACCGTAGGATTAACTGAACCGTAATGGCTAGGTATATGTAAATGTTAGCAGTACGTTTGGTTGTAAGGCAAATGGCGTGTTTATAGTTACTAACAGTATCACGTTTTGTAAAAACTGTTACCATATTCCTTAATATACTACCCCATTTCATCAATTCATGAATGAAATAGTGACGGCAGTTTCAAAAACTGATACTATATAGCCTTTCTTGAGTTTAGGGCAACCTGGAATTTGAAGATGACAAACTTGAAATGACTTATGTACATGGTACGGTAATACGGTTGTTCATTTTTGTTCTGTGTTACAAAGTGGGCACGGTTTTTGTTCAGTTTTCCAGTTTCCTTTACGACAGTCGCGAGAGGCTGATGGTCTCAACAAATATTTTGAGTGGGGTCTTTTGTTTTGTGTTCCGGTAAAAAAAGCCCCTCTCGGGAAGATTTACTAGCACCTTAGAAAATTTCCCAACCCTTTGTTTTGATTACACGGAAACGAACTGTAAATTTAGCTGAATTTAAAGTGGAGGATTGATTCTTTCAAATTGAAAAATTTAAACTTGACAGACACTAATCATCCACACATCCAGGTCATATGAATGTATTTTGTATTCGCCAATCGATAGATTTAATCCAAGATTTAATCTCATTTTACGCATTAGGAAATTCCTTTGAATATTACATGAGTAATGGGATTATTACAAGTAAATGGTGCCTAGTTTAACGCTTATATGTTATATATTTCAATAATGTAATTTAACTCATCCAATACTTAATAATCTATTAAAGGCATAAAGGAAAGACGTAACGGATTTATATAGGTTTTTGGATAGCACGGCCACAAGAATATGCAACTACACAATGTCGTATTTATAAATAATCTATCACAATTTGCAGTATACAGTAACTAAATAAATACGGTGCTTGACTTTTGTTCCAGATTTCAGGTTCTAGAAAATCTTCAATTTCTTCGAATTCTTTCGGTTTTTTCCATTGCTCGAATGTTGGGAATCTTCCATTTCTCCGAATTTTTCAGATTGAACCGAATCACTTTCAGATTTTGTGGATTTTTTATTATTCTCCCAAATGTACAGATTATTCAGATTCCTTATATTCTTCAGATCCGTTCGTTTCTTCAAATTTCAGAGTCTCCGAAATCTTCAGATTCTTCAGACTGTTATCATTTAGTTCTTCCAAAAGTTTTTGGGACGTTTCGGATTAATCTTTTAAGCAATCTTCAAGTTTTATACTTAGTGATACTTTTCATATCCTATTGGTTCATAGGAATTTTTAAAATTTTTCATTACTACAAGAGTTTTCCCATTCTATACTACACCGGTTTTTCAGATGCTTTAGTTAGATACTTAGATAGGTACAGATATTTATTTACGCCAATTGGCAGACTAGGCTAGGACAGATTTTCAATAAGTTCTAAAATAAGAATGTCAGGAGCATTTCATATAACAATAGGAGAAACAACTTATTTAGGCTCATTAAACCTTGCTGAATCCGAAAATGCCTGTTTCCACGTCGAAATTTGGACCGGAAGTCCAGAATCCAAGATGGGGGCCAAGATGGCGCCCGGAGAATGTTTGAGCGTATCTACCGTGTCTTTTGAGCTAGAATCGTAATATAAACGGCGGTGTTCAAAGGTAAGAAAGTCAATTCAATGCTTTAAAAAGACACCTGATGATGGTGCATGTTAAGTCGCTCATCGCGGTGGGTGTGGTTTACGGTTTTTTTAAATATGCATATAGTGTGAACAATGCGTGTCAACTGGTAAATAAATCTGAGTGCTACCATTGAACTGAGGTGAGAGAACCTGAATTCTTGGCTTCTGTTGTAGCTATTGTTATGCTAAGGCCTAAGAGGGGTCACCTCTCGTCTCTTCATAAACGATTTTTGTTTTTAAATGCGATGTATTATTCCCCGCAGGCTCTTTTACAACGGGTTCCTTACTACAAACGAGTATACTACTACGTTCAAATATATTTTGTGCATTTTATGCCAGAAAAGACGAGGAAATGAGGAGAAGTTGTCAGAGCTAAGGAATATAGGAAAGCAAAGGCTGTTAGAATGTTCAAAACGCCGACAAGACTTACATGATTCTGAAAATAGTTCCGCAATTATTCTATTCTATCGGCTAAGTTTTCGAAGGAAAATCTTACGTCAAGGCCATGAGAGCAGACAAGATAACCCCTGAGATAGCCTTTCAAGTATCTGATGCACATTTTGTCACCTCAGTTTGTGTCCTTCCTTGAAGAAAATGATGTTGATTCCAGCGAGTTTCAGCGTGCTTTTCAAGACAGTAGGAGTGTGGAAGACTGAGAGAGGAAACCAACTTACGCTACTTGTCGAACTTCATCAAGGAGAAATCAGAGAAAAGTGCCAATTTTGCATACTGCTGGTCTTATCAAAAGACGGGAAGAAAATGACTGAGGCAGATAGAAATGTACTTCGACGTCTTGTAATGACGAGTGTAATGACATACAAG